TTTCACCAAACATTTTGCCTTGAAATGGGAGTAGACTCAACAATTATGAAACAAGGGATTCCTCGAGACTCAACTTTTCTTTGCAGAATAAGGCCAGTATGAGTAGTTGGTGGGTCTTACGTTCTACAATTCGTCTGGACCTAATATCGAGATCCGGAACCCCGATAAATGTGAAAGGTCAAAATGAAAGTTCTGTTCACCCTAGATTGCCTGAAGTGATACTGAATAGTCGAATTTTCCATAGTTCGACTTTTATATTACCCGTATTGTTATTACAATCGACTACGTTATTTATATTCAGTAAAAGTAGTTTTCAAACTATCAGTTAATCTAGAATAATCTTTCTTGTTACCCTAAGACGCATATGAGGCTGAATGACTAAATGACTGTCGAATTTTCCCACAGTGTTATGAGTAGGCGTCACATTCTAATTGAATTTCGCATAGCTCTGCTTTCTAAAAATATAGTCTGATGGGCCTAATACCGGAAGCTCCACACGGTTGAGTTTGGTACCGAAGTAAAACACTAAATAAGCCATTTGAAAGAAATTTCAGAGAAGGTCCGACACTGACATATTGGTCCTCTTCAGCATTCATAGTGTCCTCTTTTCTGTTGAAACCTTTTGCCTACCAACATGGAGTACTGACATCTTCAGAAAAGTGAGTTGGGCCCAATGTTGCTTCTCACCTGATTTGCGCCGGTCAGAAGAAGAGTATTGACATTTGGCCAGTCAGAGAACGAGATAAGATCGTTGGCCGGCGTCTGGCCAGTCTTAGGGCTGGCGTCAGGAATTGTCCAAGGAAGCGGATCACTGGTGCCGGCTGGTCTATGCTCGACTCCGGCCAGTGAAACTAGATTCTTCTCTACTGCCGTTGTGGTGGCCGGTGTCGAGGTCGCCTGAGGCAGGAAGGCGGCGAGAGATGGCAGCGAATGACTGGCATTGCGAGAAGCCGTCGAGGTGGTGAGATCAACACCAACAGTCCTGCTGGCGCTGAGGCCGGCACGCGATTTGGGACACTGAAGGCCAAATGTAAAGCCAACGACAGAAAAGCGTGAGCAAAAAAGGCCAAGCAATCAGAGGGAAAAGTGAGCACATTCAGTCGTTGTCATGGCTTGATATACCACATGTGACGTATTTCGAGGAACATAACAACCTGCAAATTGAATTGCAGATGATTAGCATAACATGCTATTAATCTTCCGTCTAATGTGCTGATGTAGACGGTCGTGAGGTCCAACATTTGTACACATTCATTACGCTTGTCAGAAGAAATGTCAGCCAAATTTAACAAACAATCCACCCAAAAAATGAGCTCAAATCCCAAAAGAATCCACCTTAACGAAAATGTGAAGTCATTCTGGAGGACACTTTCCCATTTTCAACAGTCCTCATAAACGAGTCTGGGCGCGAGTTCGTGTTAAATCTGCATTTTCGCCAATACGAAGACTACACCAGAAAAAGGCACTACTCTCTTTTTGAAATTATTCACTGAAGAGTTTGGCTCTAATTTCTAATGAAATTGAGACGATCGTGAAGCCATATACAATCTTGTCCCTAGGTCCAAATCCTTACTTTCTCCTTGGCGTTTCACATTAATGCGGTTGACGTTACTTTCGAGATAAGGTGTGTGATGAAAATGTTTGTTGATAAATCTTAATAGACCGCTTTCGTTCAGTTTCACTTCGATGATCTTGTTGCTGCAATCATCAAGAAGGTCTCCTGCTACTACCGTTAAAATTGCTCAAGTTGACAGACATAATAAAACTTGATCTGAAGATAAACTGGGTTTCAAAGAATCCCCTAATATCTTGATACTGGCATATTTTTCATGTGAAAAGGTTTAGTATTTTTAGTTGAGTATTCGTAAATGATGGCTGCTGGCTCTGACAATGTCCGTCACATGACGGATAAAAGCTCCACACGGATTCATCGAGTCGCAAGACGGTGCCGAAAGCCTATTCGCCCAATCCCGCAATCACAAGTCAAAGGCAACCCTCCTTCAAAATCAGTTGAGGCCAAGTTAGGAATCCCCTCCACTCGTCTTTCAAACAAAATGAAAGGTGTGCAGGCATAACAAATCTCGAGTTTACAACAAGTTAAGAAACTAACCGGCCAAACTTTTTTTGCTCTATTTACTTATAAGACAACTGTACTAGCGAGATATTTCTATAGAGGTGTACATTTGTGCATGCGTGCATGTATGCATTCACGGACATACGAAACCGAAGTGATAGTCTCAATCTATCAGATAGGCTAAATACATCTGCCCTAGGGTCATGATGGCTCAATGAACTTTTAGCGTCGACCACACGGATATTCATCATTGCGATTATGTAATGTGGAACACTCATTTAGCTGAGATGATTAG